AATAATAATAATAATAATTTATTGTCATTGTAAGTATATACACAGTATACCCATACAACGAAATTCACAGTACAGAAGTATGTATTACTTAGTAGGTATACGCCATATTTGGGGGAGGGGGACTCCAAATCCCAGAATTCTGCATTCTGAGTGTCCAACTTCTCAGACCCACACCTATATTGTGCTCTTGTGGAGAAAGGCCAGGCTGGAAGGCTTCTTTTAATTTTAGAGAGACTACAGGAGTGTGCAAGCACTGGGATAACTTCCTTTTCTAAGGTAAATCCTGGAGCTTATCCTATCTTAGGCTATGAAGTTTTCCTGTCAATCCTTTCTTCAAGTGGGAGTTTGACAGATAGAACTCCCAGAATGGAAAATTATGGAATTTTAAAAAAAGGATTCCCAGTGTGGCGTACTGTATAGACAAGTGGTGGACTAAGACTCTGGAGAACAAGGTTCGAATCCACACTCCCATGGAAACTGACTGGGAGAGTAGAACTGATGAAAATACTTCTTTAAGTATCTCATGTACCTTTAAAACTGTGGTTGCTATAAGTCAGTTCCAACTTGACAGCACAGAACGTACACACACAAAAGCTATATCTCTATATTTAGTGTTGATGTTGATGGTCTATTCCAGAAAATGTTTTTTATAATCAGCTAGTGGCTTATTGACTTTTTTCCTAATGTGTTACCTTTACTTCATATAGCTCAGTCTTAATAAATACATGGGTTCTCTATGAGAAGATACCCGGTATAGTGTAATGGATATTGTGATGGGCCACTCAGGAGGAGACCTGGGTTTAAATTCTTGCTCAAACAGAACAGGGTGGATTTGATTTAAAATAAAAGTGATTTAGAAGTCTGTATTTTTTCTTGATTTATAGAAAAGATTCATTTTATTTTTAAAATTGTTGTTTTTTACTCTCCCTTAAATTAACTCATGACACATAATATAACATGCCGTCTATGATAATACTCATTTTGAATTTATGCTAAGTAAATCCTAATATAATTATTGCTAGCTAATGTGGCTCAGGACCAGGAGGATGGGGGGGCAAACAATGTGATCAATCTCTTAGTTTTTAAATCCATGTACAAACAAGGACAACTATCAGAATGTATGCACTCAGAAGTAAGTCACATTTAACTTATTCCCAAATACAGTGGTGCCTCGCTAGACGATGACAATCCGTTCCACTGAAATCGCTGTTTAGGAAAATCATTGTCTAGTGAAAAGCATTTCCCCATTGGAATGCATTGAAACCTGTTTAATGTGTTCCAATGGGGAAGAATCGTCGGCCATAGGAAAGCCGCTTTGCGAACCGCCTATCGGCTGTTTAAATCGCTGTCTTGCAAAGCTTAGGTCCCGAAAACAACTGTTTTGTGAGCGCAAAGGAAGCTGTCAAAATCGTCTAGTGAAAATCGGTTTGCGAAGCAGGGACCAAACATTGTCCAGCGAAATTCCCCCATAGGAATCACTGTTTTGCGAATTGCTATAGTGATCGCAAAAAGTCAATGTCTAGCAAAAAAAAAAACTGTCATGCAGGGTAACTGACTAGCAAGGCACCACTGTAAATGGGCATAGGATTGATACGCATGCTTTCATGTGAAAGCAGTATTGATATTTGATTTTCATTCATCAGTGCACAAGGATGAAATAGATTTTTTTTCAGATAAGATATTTCAGAGATAGGTTTCTTCAATACTTCCTGAAAAATAAATTACCTAATATTTATGTAAAAAACAATATATTTTTGCATCCGTTGAAATTAAAACTAGTAAAGCCTTCCAGTGCAGCATGGCTTCTAGTGCTGAAAGGCAGCTGTAGTTGATTCCCTTGTTGGATTTTTTAAAAGTGAAGACAACTTACTGTCTTTTCAACTGCAGTAAGTTCTTTAAATTAGGAGCGGAAATTTTATTGGTGTGATATCTAAAGTTTTGATTGTGTGTTATGTTTTGCCTGTTCCACAGTTTGACAGAGAAATAAAATTATGCGGCACTTGAAAGGCCTCCATGGGTGTAGCACCATGTGCTTGCTTCGTCCCAATACCAAACGTGATAGGATGTTTCTTTTACTGTTTTGTACATAAGTACTGTATGAGGCAGAACTTTCAATGATCTGCACAGTTGAAATTAGAGAAGATGATTGTTGGTCTTAAAACTGGTTACTTTAACTAACAAAGGTTAAAATTTCAGTTACTTGCTTTATTATTAGGTAATAATGCTTTGTGTTGCCACTGTTACAACAGATTTCAGGACCACTCCCTTTTCTCTACTTTGGAATATGTCTTGTTGAATTTGGTGAGCTGACTTAAGAGAATTGGGCATTGGACCTGTTTGTAAAATTGCAGTCCTAAAGATGCTGTTGGGTGATAAGTGCCACTAAACATGGTGAAAGTTGCTTCTGAGAAAATGATTGTAGGATTATGCTTCAAGTCTGTGATTTAATGCATTTATGCAAGATTAAAGTAGTGTGTAATTCAAATTGTGGAGTCCTCTTATTTGCTGAAGGTCTGTGTGGATAAGTTCTGTTCCATCACAACGTTCCCATGTGGTTTGGGGGAAGAAGATGTTGATTCTCTTCACTTGCTAAATGTATTGGAACCATTTCTGGGAGCTGGTGAACACCTTTCTAATGTTTCTTCTGCAATTTAGCTGAGATACAAAGTATGAATTTCTCTCTCAAAATGTAGCGCATTAAACTAACTTTGCATTCTAATTTTCGCCTAATTAGGTTTTGTGATGATATATCAGTATAGTGTGATAGTCTTTTAACATAAATATTTGCAGAATACAAAAGAAACATACATATTTTTAATACTGGAAAAAGAAACAAGGTATAGGTTGTTGTCATTAATTCCATATTTCTTTCAATTTTAGAGACTCTACGGGGGTGGGTAATTCAGTGGTCCACAAGCGGTCTCCCTTACGCCGAAACCAAAAACCACCAGTATCCTTGACCAAACTGTCTTCAAGGGATGGACAGAAAGCCAAAAAGCCAGTGTGCAAATTTGAAGAAGGACAAGATGTCCTAGCTAGGTGGTCAGATGGCTTGTTTTATCTTGGAACTATCAAAAAGGTAAAAAAAAATCTATGAAAAAAATCTATTGCAGCATATTCAGCTCAGTGTTTAGAAACCACAGCTTCAACTCTGTTGTCATTTCAGATAAACAAACTGAAGCAGAGCTGCTTCATCATATTTGAAGACAGTTCCAAATCCTGGGTTCTCTGGAAGGACATACAGACAGGCAAGAAAATGACTTTAAACATCTTTTATAAAGTTTACTTCTTTTCCACCTCAGGGCCACATTCCCTTTTAACCTTTCCAGACCTACATGTCAATAGTGGATAAAGCTAAAGCTATTTGTACAGCCACCATTTCTACACATTTGTTTGAATTTCACCATCCCATGCTGGGTGTGCGTATTAAACTTTTCAAGGCAGTTGTTCATGGGCTGAGTACCCTTTTCTTCCTCAGCCTGATTCCTGCCAACCCCAAGTCATCCTTGAAAACCACTCTGTCTTCAAAATTAGGCTTAGGGGAGAAAATGCTAAATCTAACAGGGGCAGAGCAAATTGAGGAGGGCACAGGCAGGGGCCATAGCTTTTGTAGGCTGTATCTTGACTACAATCTACAGACACTTTTTTTTATAAGGAAGAAAGGGAAACATAGTGCATTGATGCAGTAGAAAAAGTCTAGATTTATATCATATTTCAAGCCATTGTTTTATGAAAGTATTAATTTAAATACAGTGGTACCTCGCTAGGTGATGACCCCACTGTACAACAAAACTGCATTATGATTTTTTTGCGATCGCTATAGCGATTCGCAAAACAATCATTCCTATGGGGGAATTCCGCTTGACGATGATTAGGTCTATGCTTTGCGGAGCGTTTATTTGCAAGACTATGATTTTTTCCAACAATTGTCGGCTTCCTAAAGTGGCTGCCCTGTCTTTTCTGGACCCATGCTTTGCAGGGCAGCCATTTTAACAGCTGATCGGCGCTTGCAAAATGACTTCCCTATAGGCGATCTTCGCTGGACAAGGAGGTAATTTCCTCATTGGAATGCATTAAACCGAGTTTCAATGGATTCCAATGGGGAAAGGCTTTTCGCATGGTGCCGATTTCACTTAACAGCCCGGAACAGATTATCGTCGTCATGCGGGGCACCACTGTAGATTAATTTTAGCTTTGATAAGTATTGCTGTATTTTCTGTTTTTTATTCTTGTACATCACCCAGAGTGACCATTGGTCAGATGGACAGTCTAGAAGTTCAGAAATAAAATAAATAGGATAGACAGCACTCAACATTAGCCTTAAGGTTTATCTTCTATTCAAATTGAGGAGGGCACAGGCAGGGGCCATAGCTTTTGTAGGCTGTATCTTGACTACAATCTACAGACACTTTTTTTTATAAGGAAGAAAGGGAAACATAGTGCATTGATGCAGTAGAAAAAGTCTAGATTTATATCATATTTCAAGCCATTGTTTTATGAAAGTATTAATTTAAATACAGTGGTACCTCGCTAGGTGATGACCCCACTGTACAACAAAACTGCATTATGATTTTTTTGCGATCGCTATAGCGATTCGCAAAACAATCATTCCTATGGGGGAATTCCGCTTGACGATGATTAGGTCTATGCTTTGCGGAGCGTTTATTTGCAAGACTATGATTTTTTCCAACAATTGTCGGCTTCCTAAAGTGGCTGCCCTGTCTTTTCTGGACCCATGCTTTGCAGGGCAGCCATTTTAACAGCTGATCGGCGCTTGCAAAATGACTTCCCTATAGGCGATCTTCGCTGGACAAGGAGGTAATTTCCTCATTGGAATGCATTAAACCGAGTTTCAATGGATTCCAATGGGGAAAGGCTTTTCGCATGGTGCCGATTTCACTTAACAGCCCGGAACAGATTATCGTCGTCATGCGGGGCACCACTGTAGATTAATTTTAGCTTTGATAAGTATTGCTGTATTTTCTGTTTTTTATTCTTGTACATCACCCAGAGTGACCATTGGTCAGATGGACAGTCTAGAAGTTCAGAAATAAAATAAATAGGATAGACAGCACTCAACATTAGCCTTAAGGTTTATCTTCTATTCATTACTCATGCTTACTGTACTCGGCTCAAGCTTTAGCAGATTCCTTTCATCTCACTGCAGTCCTGGAAGATAGAACCTGGTTAGTACTGACTAACCCAATGTCTTACTCTGTTTCTCTTACCTACGCACCTTCAAATCTCCATGTAATGGGGGCTATCTTATAATTAGAACAAGTTTAATAGTTTCATGCATATTTGCTGGATCCATTTTTAAAAGAAGAAAATATAATTGATACTCATTTGAAGTAAGTCATGGCCTTTATCTTTTTAGGAGCTACTGAAAGTGGGGAAATGGTCTGTACAATATGTCAGGAAGAATATTCAGAAGCACCCAATGAAATGGTTATATGTGATAAATGTGGTCAAGGTAATGTGAATTTTGTAGCATACAGAGTTTTTAAAAATCTAACCAATGTTTGATGAGTAATCTTGAATTTTTATGTTTGCAATGAAATGGTTAAGTTTAAATAAATATAATCAACACTGGATATATAGTGTACTTGCTAACATTTCAGGATATTTGATTTATAATGTGTGTTAGAAATTAGATCAAGAATTCTGTATTAAAACTTACCAGAGTGATTCATCATTAAGATTGTAAGTGCTTTTAATATCCCTTTAAACAGTGAAAAAAAATCTCTTTTAAAAATTTAGGTTATCATCAGTTATGTCACACACCAAATATTGATTCTAGCGTGATAGATTCAGATGATAAATGGCTCTGTCGGCAGTGTGTCTTTGCAACAACCACAAAGGTATGTTAACTGCTTGATGAAAATAATTGAAATGAAGAGTTGTGCTTGTGTGGCATTGGACTGTAGCATTTGCTGCTTCATTTGCTTTATTTCAGAGAGGTGGCGCACTTAAGAAAGGACCAAATGCTAAGGCACTGCAAGTCATGAAGCAAACATTGCCTTACAATGTAGCTGATCTTGAATGGGATGCAGGCCATAAAACAAATGCTCAACAGTGTTATTGCTACTGTGGCGGTCCTGGAGAGTAAGTACAAAGAAAATTTTAAATATATATTTTCTCACATTTACTTCTATATTCTATAATTGTTAGTCATGTCTACAAAAGCTGTTGTATTTCAGTTTAATCAGCTGTGCAGTACAATGGTGTTGCACCAGCAACAGGAGGCATTCATTGCATTTTTTTGTACTTCAGTTTTAAACATTTTTGTTCAAGAAAATTCTATATTTAAGCTGCATTCTTACATGGACTTACTTGGGAGCAAACGTCATTGAACACAACTGAGACTTACTTTCAAGCGTACATAGGTTTGAACATTTTCAGTACATCTGAAACTGGTCAAATAGTTTCATGCAGTTTGTTTCCTTCCCCAACCAAAAGTGACAAAAATGCACTCCTGGTGATGGTGGTAGTGGTGAGTCCATCCTATATACACACACTAAATCAAGGTTCTAGATCTGGAAGGGAACCACCGTATCTTGAGATTTTCAGGAGCAGCAAAATTGGTCAAAAATAAAGATTTATGATGCAACTATACTGTTCATAAAGGCCACAAGGGACTTTTTGTGGGGCATAATTCCTGCTGGCAGCCAGGGGAAAGTATGCTGCTTGAGCAGGATATTTTTCAGAAACTAACAAGCAGCCATTAGGCAACATTCTGATCAAGCTGTGACTAGCAAAAACATAGCTAAATACCTTATACTCACTAAGGTACAGGTAACTGAAAGGACAAGGTTGGAAAAACCTGAGTGTCCTATATTTGAATGAATTGTACAGCAGAAAGTAACATCCTTGATCCACTTTGACCATTTCTGAAGACCTGCTTGTACAGATAGCTTTTTTTTCTTTTCGTCACTTTTGCTATATTTTCAAATGTCAGGACATTGCTGTTCATGGTGCTTCTGTATCATTGTACTTGCAGAAAGATATATATGTGACATTATGTTCAACCAGTGACTGAACTCCTATTATGTCGCTATGTAAAAGACATAACTTCTAGAGGTGAATTGTGTGATTTTCTGTGCAATAGATGTCTACGAATATTTCTTAACTTGAGGTGCTTCATCTCCAACTGTTACACCTTTTGTGTAGCAGCAGAACAGGATTTCACCCACTGTCTTTCTATCAGTTGAACTGACACTAATAAATCCCCCCCACCTGCAGTCCAAGTGCCCCCCCTACCTGCTTGCTCAAGGTTGACATGGCCCCTTCTGAAGCAGATTTGGCATGGTAAATTAGACTACAAGGGAGGAGAATATGGAAAACTCCAATTGCACAGTGTTGCCCATAACCTGTTCAGCTTGTGTGGTTAAAAATAATTTTGACTGTTTCGATCTAAGTTTGATCTACCAAAATGGTGCATTTTTTCTACTATTGCAGGGAACAATTTAGACCAATTCTATTTTTTTTTTCCTTTTTTCCATGCTGTTGATAAAGCTGGTATTTAAAGATGCTTCAGTGCTGCAAATGTAAACAGTGGTTTCATGAGGCTTGTGTGCAGTGCCTGCAAAAGCCCATGCTTTATGGTGACAGGTAAGATGTATTTTTGTTTGGATGTCAGAGATTTTTCCCTTGGAAAGGGTGATAGAGTATATTTGTGTTGTTCGCCTAGATTGGTTTGTAATAATTGTGTTACTGTTTTTATTGCAATATATTATTTTTAGCATTGCTTTTATATTGCGTTTTTATTTATAACTTTTTATTTATAACTATAAGTTTAGTTTTATTACAGACAGTGTGTTTAAACAAATTCATCTTTGTGTCCAAAGTTAGATTAAGAATTGTATACTTTTTTTAAAAAAATCCATTAAGTGTGAGTAGAACAAAATGTTTTTTTAGTTAATAGATCTTGAATAGCAAATGGGTCCAGAGTTTTCTCATCTCAGAGATCACAACTAACATTAATACTTATTCACTGCTGCACTAAAGACACAGGCATATGCTGATTTCTTTGTTGTGTAAAGTCTTGTAAAATTAATCTTGTTACATATTTACAGCATTAAATATGTTCTTTTTTAAAAGGTTTTATACATTCGTTTGTTCAGTTTGTAGTTCTGGACCAGAATACCTCAAACGTTTACCCTTGCAGTGGTAAGTTGAACTTAATAGTGCACTGAGGAAAAAATCAGCATCTCACTGTACACTTCCATGATTATATCTTGGTTTTTTTTTTAAAAAAAAAATTATTTTGCCATTCAGAAGCATAAGCATCACTCGTGTAACTTGGTGCACTGTTACTTTTATCAAGGTTGCTTTCTCACTGGTTTCAAATTGAGACACTGAGAAACTATCTAGAAAGGGGCAAATAATAGGCTAATAAGGCTGTGAAACATTTAGGAATAACTTAATGTAACGGAGTAAGCTAGCTTTTTTCTAAGTTGCTCTAGCTCTGTCTTCTAATTTGATTGTGTTCACACTTTCAGAATGTTGAATTATGCTAATTTTGTTATTAACACTTTGAATTTTAGGGTAGATATAGCACATCTATGCCTTTACAACCTAAGTGTTATTCACAAAAAGAAATATTTTGATTCAGAGCTTGAACTCATGACCTATATTAATGAAAACTGGGACCGACTCCACCCTGGTGAAGTAAGTAGTTGTAATTTTCTTATTAGTCATGTGTATGACTCATCTAGAAGGTCAAGCTGTTAACAACTGTTAATTTTTTAATGAAACTACTGTACTCACATTTTAATGTACTTCAGGAGAATTGTGATAAGCTTACCATTTGGAAATACGTCGGCTACAAAACTGTTTAAATGGTTTATTTTGTTACCAGCAATGAAAGGTTGTGGGCACACCTTGTAAACTGCATCATTTCTAGAAAAATCACTGCTGCAGGTCCTGCTGCAGCTGCCAGGAACAACATGAGCATCTATTTTCAGACATTTAAGATTCTCTCTCCCCTACCCCTCCAAATGGCTTCCCCAACACTAGAAGGATCCTAACGAGCCTAGAAACCTTTATGGGGGTAGGGATTGTAATGTCCTGAACAGTATATGTGGTAATTCTAGTATATATCTGTGCTATAGTATCTTGGAACTGATACTGTATTTGTAGTGTCTGGAATGGCATTGAAAGTTTTAATAGATTAAATCATTTCTTAATACTTTACAGTTGGCAGACACTCCAAAATCTGAAAGATATGAGCATGTTCTGGAGGCATTAAATGATTACAAGACTATGTAAGTTGCTGTGGAGTTTTTTACATTTTGTTCTTACTCCTTCTGTTTAGTCTAATGGAGATACTAATCTTGAGTGATTCTTTAGAACTGTTTGCTAAAGCTTACTACAAAACGTTTAAAACTTTGGAATCAGACTTGTAACTTTTTCTTGGCTAATAAGAACTGAATGTTTCTCTTTATTTCCCATGTGAGTGGAATTAAAATAAACTGTATGTTCCATATTTAATATTTAATGATTCAGGTTTATGTCTGGAAAGGAAATAAAGAAGAAAAAGCATTTGTTTGGCTTGAGAATTCGTGTTCCTCCTTGCCCACCAAATGCTATTTTTAAGGCTGAGAAAGAACCAGAGGGAACATCACATGAGTTCAAAATTAAAGGGAGAAAATCATCTAAACCTGTGCCTGATCAGAGGTAAACAAATCTAACAGCTGAATCACTTTTCTTCTCAGACTGGATATTTTTCACACAATAGTAGGTATCTTGAGACCAAAAACATCTTTATCACAAAATGAACACATATTGGCTGATATCCTGTATTCCCTGGATGGGAAATAGGCTTGTACAGTGGACCTTTTCTTTATATACCTTCCTCTTGTACCCCTTGAAATCTTGCTCAGGCCATGTAATTTGGGTGTCAGAATTTATCTTTTTAACAATGAAGATGGATTGCTATTATTTAGTCATTTAGTTGTGTCTGACTTCTCATGACCCCATGGACCAGAGCATGCCAGGCCCTCCTGTATTCCGCTGCCTCCCGGAGTTGGGTCAAATTCATGTTGGTAGCTTTGGTGACACTGTCCAACCATCTCATCCTCTGTCGTCCCCTTCTCCTCTTGCCCTCAATCAAGGTATTTTCCAGAGAGTCTTCTCATGAGATGGCCAAAGTATTGGAGCCTCAGCTTCAGAATCTGTCCTTCCAGTGAGCACTCAGTGTTGATTTCCTTTAGAATGGATAGGTTTGTTCTCCTTTTAGTCCAGGGGACTCTCAAGAGCCTCCTCCAGCACAATTCAAAAGCATCAATTCATGAATTTTAAATGGTTGGATAGCGTGATAAATTCTCTAAGTTGATATTGTAAGATACAGCCTGACAAATTATAATGTATGAACTTGATCAGTTAAAATTTACCAGTTAACAAAATTCTCAGTTTTGCTGAGTATTTCTGCTTGAAAAGTCTGCTGCCCATGTCAGAATTGAGACTCTTGCCTTGTACTACCCCAAATATCTGTACAGTAAAGAGGATGATGGACTCTAACAACATTCCATTCTTGCATACAGCAATACATTTGTGTGCTCTATGTTTTGCATACCCTGCAGTGGTTTTCTTTCTTTTGGGGGGGGGGGGTCCTGCCAGAATGTAATCAAATGCAGAATTCACAAAGTCATATAATAGCTCTTACATTTAGTTTCTTTTAAAGGGAAATAACTACTTCAGTAAATGTATATTAAGTACATTTAGGAGAGTAAACCTGTTGAATATAACTGATGATCCTAAACGGGAAGCAAAATAGTAAATCACAAGTCAGAATCCTATTATTTACATGTACTGGTGTTAATTCCATTCAAGCAAATCTCAGCAGCAAATTGCCACTAGTTAAGTTAATTTAAGCATCTGGTGTCACATGCTAGTTATGTAACAACAAATGCCTCCACTGAATTTTTAACTTGAGTTCACTGCAGTTTATGCTGATAGTCATAAGTTGGTGTAATTCTTCAGATGAGTTCCAGCCATAATTAAGTCCAGCCCATTAGCATGTCATTTAAAAAACTAAAATATGCACTTTCTTCTAGGGAAGTTACTAATGGTGTAGAAAAAAAGGGGAAGAAAAAATCTATAGGTCGCCCACCTGGCCCATATACAAGAAAAATGATTCAGAAAATGTCTGAATTGACTCCTTTGGTAGGTGGCATTTGCATTTATTTCATATTACTTTTTTGATTTAAAATGGCCATTATGTGTAGTTTAAAAATTCAGCCTGTTTGTTTTCTTGGGAAGTTAAATATTTAAAAAGCCTGAAAAAGTTCTCCTTTTGTCCCCCTGTTTGGAAAAAGGAACCTGTTCTAATGCAAGAATCCCCTCCCTTGGACTTACCTAGCACTGCTGGGTAAGTAAGGAAAAATCTGCTGTAAACCTTATTGTTGATTAGCGAACATCTAGTTAGATCAGGTGTTAATGTTTCAATCCTTTGATCACATGGTATCATGATTTGGCTCAGAAGATCTGATGGAACTGCACATTCATCCAATACCTCAGATGTGGAATCCACAGGTGCTGCCAGTACAAAAGAAACTACCTCAAACAGTATTTCGAAGCATTACAGGTACACCATTGTTTCATTTATTCCCATATATACTTGTACTGGAGGAGGGATTAATAAATTCAATATATTGCTTGGACCTTAAAATATTATGAGTGGGTGCTGATAAGTATTGAGCCTTTCCCAGAAAAAAAAATTGAGCTAGGAAGATGTAACTGCCACACTATTCTACATATTCCTCCAGGAAGTCAATGCACATGTGACATTGGTCCTGCAGCTTCTTAAGTCCCTGCAAATAAAATTCTTCCGACTGATGGTATAACCACTCATTGGCAGCATTAGTTGCCTCCAGAACACTCCCAAATTGTTGCCTCTTTAGGTGTTTTTTAGTTTGGGGGACAGATAATAGTCAGAAGGAGCCAGGTTGGGAGAACAGGGTGGATGGGCCATCACTTGAAAGCCTAAGGATGTCAGTTTTGCCATTGTTTCACCTGCAGTGTGTGACGAGGCATTGTCATGCAACAGAATGACACCTTTGGAGAGCTTTCCTTGATATTTTTCCTTGATGTTTTGCCTCAACTTCATCAATAAAGTGCAGTAATATTTTGCATTGATGGTTGAACCCTGTTGGAGGTAGTTCACCAGGAGAACTCCCTTCTTATACCAAAAAACCTTGCCATTGGCTTCTGTACCAACCTTTGCACTCGGAACATGTTTGGCCTGGGAGAACCACTGTGCCTCCATTCCTTAGACTGTTCCTTTGTCTCAGGATCATAACAGTAGATCCATGTCTCATCACCAGTAACCAGTTTGCCCAGGAAATCTGACTCATTTCTTGCAAAATGTTCCAAAACAGCCACCGATGACTCCACAAGTTTCCTCTTTTGTTTTGTTGTCAAATGTTTGGGGATCTACTTTGCTGCCAGCTTTCTCATTTCCAAGTCATTGTAGATGATGGCACCAACTCTCACATGATATTCTCAGATATATAGCAATACTGTTGGCTGATATTCAGCGGTCCTCGATCATGTCATGGATGGCTTTCACATTTGCAGGCACAGAGACAGAAACTGGCCTTCCACTGGGTTTCTCACTTTCAACACCAAAATGGCCAGTTTAAAAATTGACAACCTGATGTTTAACTGTTGCATATGAAGGGCCACTTCATGTCAGCTATAGTTTGTGACATTTCATCATGGATCTGCTATGCACCTTTCCCTTGGAGAAACAGGAACTTGATTAAGGTCCTATGTTCTTCTACATTGAACTTTTCTGGAGGTGCCACCATGTTCACTTTGGACCAGAAAATGAAAGTTAAGTTAAAATCATAGATAGTTGATTTTTGCACCATTGAATATAGACAAATTGGCCAATACATCCTACAATTTATAGCTTCCTAGCTCATTTTTTTTTTGGTTAGCTTCCTAGCTCAGTTTTTTCTGGGTAATGCTCAGTACTTATCAGCACTTCCTCGTACCTTAAAGAAGTTTAGAAAATGTTTTTATTCCAGGCTCAGTACTTATCAGCACTCCCTCGTACCTTAAGGAAGTTTAGAAAATGTTTTTATTCCTCCTTGCAGCCATTGGTGAACAACAAAAAAGCTCCATGAAGGATTAAGAGTTAGGGCAAAACGCTGTGTAAGGTGCTGCGAGGTTCATCTGTTTGAACATCACATATTATTGTTTTTTTCGCTCCATAAGATGCATTTCCCCCCTCCAAAAAAAGTGGTGGTAAAAGTGTGTGCGTCTTATGGAGCAAATACTGTCACCACCACTACCACCGCCCTCTGAGGCCACCGTAGGCCTCAGAAGGTCCCGTGGGGGTCTCCCCACACCACCGTCGCTGGCTTTGGAGGCCTCAGAAGGCCCCGCGGGGGTCCCCCCGCCACCATCCCTGGCTTTGGAGGCCTCTGGAGACCTCAGACAGCCCAGCGGGGGTCCCCCCCACACCACCATGCTGGCTTTTGAGGACTCCTGGGAGGCTTCGGACTGGTAAGGTGCTGCTTTTTACTTTTTAAAAAAATGTTCTGTGTGGGTTTTGGAGGGTAGGTTTGGGCTGGGGCAGGGGTGGGCAATTAATTTCTATAGGGAGGGCCACATGAAAAATCTGAACTGTGTTCGGGGGCCGAACCAACTTTACTTAAAAATAAAATGAAACTGTGATATTATGATTGTTTTTATTTTAAATTTGTTAATCTTCACAAATACTAAAGAGGGTTTTTTTGCGGTATCTTAAAGCCAGGCAACTGATCAATTTGAGACAAAAAGCTATAAATAGTTTTGATGTTCAAAACTTTCTGGGGGCTGGACAGGAGCAGCTCACGGGCCGCATGTGGCCCTTAGGCTGCACTTTGCCCAGGTCTGGGCTGGGGGGTATGTTTCTATGTCACTTTGTTTTTTGGTGATTTTTTTGTTTACAGTCCCAGCGTGGGACTTGCTCTGTTTATTTACTTTTATTATTATTATGTTTTGGTATTTAAAAATTAGGTGCTGCTTTTTATTTTTTTAAAAAATGTTCTGGGTGGGTTTTGGAGGGTAGGTTTGAACTGGGGGGGTATTTTTCTATGCTGCTTAGTTTTTTGTTAAATTTTTTTTCAGTCCCAGCATGGGACTTGCTCTGTTTATTTTATTTTATTTTTTGGTATTTAAAAATTAGGTGTGTCTTATGGTCAGGTGCATCTTATGGAGCGAAAAATACGGTACTTATATGCAATTGATTTATTTCTGAAATACTCTAGACACATTGTTTTATGTTGACCTTTTACCAAACCAAATTAACTTACTAAAAAGTACTTATGTGATTTTTCTGTCTATTAGGGTTTTCAGTGAATGTATAATAAATTCCAGTAAATTCACAAGAACGAAAACAAAATACAGAAATGAAAATTAGGCAAAAGTCTGGTGACCTAATATAGTGTTCATTTTCTTTTAAAAACAAAATAGGAATGGAACCAAATGATGGGGTGGAAAAAGTGGTTTTCTAACCCTACTTTCGTAGGCATAGCTTTTGATAGAAGGCATCTGATCCTGGAATGTGTTTTCCAAGGAAAGGAAGAGTTTGAGCAGGACACCAATGGCATCTTAAAGGGATGTATTTACTACTACTATCTTGTATGCAGGAACTGTTGGTCTAAAAGAGGTTTAAAGGATAGCTCCCTCCCTTTTTCAGTGCATGTGCTTTCTTTACAGATCCAGCTGGACCTGGCAGGTAGATATTGCTCTGTTTTGTTTTAGTCTATACTGTTCTAACTATTTGCTTTGTTTACTTTTAAGAGGGTATTGAGATATTTCCCCAAAGCGAAAAAATTCCAACTACAGAAAAACCTCATCTTTGTCACTCATAACATAGGCACATTAGTACACCTCCTGTCAATGTGACTTTGACCATTAGTAAATACTTCACCATAATGCCACTAGCCACCATTTCACTGATGGTATGGAGGAGCTTAAATGAAACACAGGCTCTGATAGTGTAAACATATACAAACCACAGGTTTATAACTCTGTCTCATCCATAGTTTCATTATTTTAACTAGTTTGGCGCAGTTGAGCCTTATTTCAGGGGACAAAGTCTCATTAAATATAATGCACTTAGTCCTGTTTCTGCCATCAAAGATAAGCCCACCTATTTGTGTTTACTTGGAGTGAGGGTAAAAGTAAAAGGTCGTTACATGAATGTGCCCATGTTTTGAACTAGCATAGGTATTATCTGTGGTCTAAATTTTGTTGCATTGAGGGCGTAGCTTTAGCTGTAACTTTTTCCTATAAACCAATGAGGGTCTTTTGTTTCAGAACATAATTGATTAATTAAACAGAACTTGCTTTTGCTTTTTTGTTCTACAGACATTTATATAGCCAGAGATACTAAAAATCAGTCTTGAAACAATAGGCAGCCACGCCCCTAATATAGGTACAGTGTGGCCCTGTTGTTCCTTAAATATATTTTGCTCAATACATAACTGATTTTGCTGTGTGCTATGCCCCGTTAAGTCGTGTCACCAACAGATTTCTACTCTGCCCAGCTGCTTCCTGCTACATGACATCTAGCAGAAATGGCTACAAAACCACCTGCAGGTCCTGATTTGGGGTAACGTTCAAAGCCAGTGCAAATGGAGCCATACTGTAAAATTATTTTCGATATTCATAAGCATTTCTTGTGTTTTGCAGTTTGTCTGATTCCAGGAAAAGGACCCGTACAGGGAGAACTTGGCCAGCTGCAATTCCACACTTGAGGAGAAGAGGACGCCTTCCACGAAAAGCACTCCAGATTCAGAATTCAGAAATTATGAAAGAAGATGAAGGCAAAGATGATTACCAGTATGATGAACTCAATACAGAAATTCTAAATAATTTGGCAGATCAGGAGTTACAACTTAATCATCTCAAGAACTCTATTACCAGTTACTTTGGTGCAGCAGGTAGGATAGCTTGTGGTGAAAAGTACCGTGTTCTGGCACGTCGTGTAACACTTGATGGAAAGGTGCAGTACCTTGTGGAGTGGGAAGGAGCAACTGCCTCCTGACTCATGTATTGCCCATAACTATTTATAGGCACAGTTTTTAAATCAGGAGTGCAAAAGTAAATTTGTTTTGATATTGTAAAAAAAAAAAAGGAAACCAACTTAGCCTTAATACTTATTTCTTTACAATAGAAAGCATTGTGATAATTGAGTTAATCTTTTTAAAATGAGGCTGGATTCCTACAGTTTTTAAATACAAGAATCTAGATTGTTATAAGTTTGGAAAGCTGAGATTGCAGTTTCTTTAAAATATGCACAACTAAAAAATAAACTTGTCTAGTTAGCATTCCATCAAAACATTTTCCTTTGTTAGAGAATTTTTTCTGCAGCTAGGACAAATTTTTACTAAGAATCTTAATCTTTTCTTACCCAGATGTTTGCATAAATGTATTTCTACTTTGACGATCCTAGATTTTCATAAGGTGCATTGTATATAATTCCTACTGAGGATTGTAAAATATTGAAATGTTCTTTCAAGCAAAATGTAAAATATATATATTGAGCTTGTAAATTGCTCTCTGACTAGACTTTGTTGTCTTTTTAATATATTCTTGCATGTGTATATATACACATACGTGTGCATGTGTATATATGTGTGATTGTGACCTATGCAATATAAATTATGGGAATGGGCAGCTTTTGACTATATATCCCATAATTCTTTTATCAGGAATAGTTGCAGTATTTACACAGCAGCATTTCTTCTCAGGCTTTATTGGGTGCTGTTGCTTGCCACATGCTACAGAATATGTGTCAAATGAATTCTGTGTGTTCTGGCCATGAGTGCAGTCATTCATGTCATATGCCTTCAGAAAATGATTCAGGCTGCAGTCCTGCATCCAAGGGTCCAGCAGTTAAGAAATTTGCAGTGCCTCTGAGGTTCATGTGTTCCCGATCCTTCTTTCATCATTTAAAGATCTTGAGGTGCTACATCTTCACTGAAGTTTAGGATAACTCTTATCTCTGGGAAAAGAGGAAGTTGAAATTAAGAGGGAGTATATGCTCCTGCTCTTAGCTATGGCTAAGAGATTGGGAAACATTGCATCTATACTGGGTCAGGTTGTTTGAGGTTACAGTCCTATATCCGCCTCCCTAGGAGTAAGCCTTTTTGAACTTGGAGGTGCTTAACTTCTAAGTAGACGTGTAGGATTGTGCTGTAAATTTCCTTGCATTTAATCAGCCTGATCCTGCAACAGTGTTGCAGCCTCAAAGGCAACTGTTGGAGACACAAATTGGGACTTGAAAATTTGAAAATGTACTCTGCTTAGCAGAAAATTCTAAGGATTTGTGACACAGTGATTGTAAATTTTGTTTCCCATTTACTAAAAAAAGTCAGCAAAATTGTACAAGATTTCTTTTGTATGTGATACTTCGTAGTTATGTTTGATAAATGTAGTTGGAACAAAGTGTATAATTGCACAGGGTCAACAAACAGTATGTTGCCACTTGAAGTAACAATACTGCTTTTATTACAATATTACCTCTTTTGTTCTTATAAATATGAATCAAATTTTAAGTGGATACCTTTATTTTACTTGTAAAATAACAGGTTTTGTTGTGAGGTTAGATGTATTTTCTAAATCTGTTTGAGGATAGATTTTTTTTTTTTTGTAATTTTTTGCCAAAGAGTAAAAACAACTTATTTTGGCAGCTTCTCATTGTACTGCCGAATGGTTTGCTTTCCAGCATGAGTTTGCCAACAAAATTAAGCTGTGACAGTAATGTGATAGTAATTAAAAATTGGTTGTATACTTGGATCATATTCTGAATTATTTTTAAAAGCAAAACTTACTGTTATAATTGTCAAGGAAAATTAATTACTTTTGTCATCTTTTTACACAGCCAAGGGAAGTATAGATAAATTTGTTTCCCTGTCCTTGTGGCTGGTATAAAAAATAAGGGTGGTATAAAACATAAGCTTTACAAAAAGGATAATTAAAATTCACTTCTTCACTGAAAATGTGGTTCTCTTTCCTTCTCACGCAGTCTCAGCTATTCAGTTAAAGTTGCCTTGCCTTTTGCTGCAATATTTTGATAAGACACAGGTTACATTTTGAATGTTAGTCTCTTCAGATAATGCGAAATGTATTTGTCTTGTAACATTACTCACAACTGGAATTTTTTTCCATTGCTTTTTCTTTCCACAATCTGTAATTCACATTGAACACCAGCAGTATTTGCAGTAGTGCTTCCATACAAAGATAGTAATTGGAATCTAGTTGGGGAGAGAATGTTGACAAACTATCAGCAAATTTAATTGTGAATGTGTGTGTGTGTTTTCATTTTGTCATGGTGGTTGTTATGTTTGTATTTCTGAAACTGTTTTCTAGAATTTAAAATCAACATTAAATGTGTGTATTTTTAAGAACACTTGTTGCTGTTTTCATTTTTATCCAGCTTAAAACTTAAATGCTTCATATTAGCATGTTAGCTTCTAAAGTAAATTAGATGGGATTTCAGAGTAAAATATAGCCAAAATTACATTTGTAAAGCAATTAGTTTAAAATACTAACTAAAGTATAGGATATAAGCTGTAGACATGGGCATTTTGGGGCTTTCCTACATTGGGGATGTGGTGGCGCTGCGGGTTAAACTGCAGAAGCCTTTGTGCTGCAAGGTCAGAAGACCAGCAGTCATAAGATCAAATCCATGTGAGCGAGCTCCCAGCTCCTGCCAACCTAGCAGTTCGAAAGCATGCAAAAATGCAAGTAGATAAATAGGTACTACCTCGGTGGGTAGGTAATGGCATTCTGTGTCTAGTTGTGCTGGCCACGTGAGCACGGAAACTGTCTACGGATAAACACTGGCTCTACAGCTTGGAGACGGGGATGAGCACCGCCCCCTAGAGTCAGACATGACTGGACTAAATGTCAAGGGGAACCTGTACCTTACAGCAGAGGACATCCTCACAATGTTGTTGCACCTACTCACCTTGATAGAAATTTATAATCATTTTTGAGCTCCCAGCTCCCTCTGGTTGTGGGGACAATTCAATCGAAGTTCCTGTCTCTACCTTGATAGCAATTTGTTCCTTGTCTCCTTCACTTGTTTCTCTTTATACGTTTTTCATTCCTTATTCTCCTTCCTCAACTGTTATTTCCTCTCACCTCTGGGGCAAACCTCATCCATGTTGCTGGATGTGTTGCATCAAGAGGACAGTCTGGGGCACTCAGCTGATCTGCTGACTCTCAGAAGACACTCTGCGGCTGAAGCCTAGGTAATGCCTCGGTCTGCTGTGCCAGGGAGCGCGAGAGCCCTGTTGGATTGCGCCTTGTGCTTACAAAGGTCTCAGGAGCTAAGGGATGAAACCAAAAACCTTCAGGTTTCCTTTAGGCCAAAGCAGTTTATCCATGGGCCAAAGACATTCTATATAGTCTTCTCAAGGGTGGTATAAAGTTTAGCCAGGTACTGAACAAAATTATTAAAGCTGCTTGCTTTACAGTGGATTCCATGCTGGATTCTATTCAGTTTAGTGCCAGTGCAAAAATTTTTTACTAGATTACCCATGCAATACAATGTCTTTATCATATTCTTGAATAGGGTTTTTATAGCCAGCAGTTGAGAGGCCAACAAGATTACAATGATTTATAGCAACTTTTGTAATAAAAGAATGAGTGTGCTACTTGCTAACAGAAGTGGGCTGCTCCCTTCAATGTTCTATCCAGTGAAACAATGCCAAAGTTTATCCATGTTTATCCAATACTGTACGGAAGAAGTATTTCAGTGTTCTATGTCTCACTGTACACATTTAGGAATAAAAATAGACACAGTTTTATATCCTTTTATTAGCTCTTTCTATTTCACAGTCACAATTTTAGCCATTTGTTCTTTAGTTCAAATAACAAAAATTTATTCTTTTACTTGCTGACTCTCACAAGCTTAATTTCTCACCATTATGAAACAGTACAATATATCCATGAGTGCCAAAGTAAATGGTAAAAAGTATTTATGCTCACTAAACTACATTATAGAAGTAAGGTTTTTGTTGGAAGTCAGAACTGGATCATAGTAAGGACCAAGGTTCCCTCTAAGCTGGGCATGTGCACGCCTCTCCCTGCCTCTATGCAACTGTCTTCCCCCTCTGCACAGTGATCATGTTAGGTTCCGGTCGCGATGGAACCCTGCACGTAGGGGGCAGAGTTGCGCACACGCACAAGGCAGAGCACTGCCCAGTGGAGCTGAAAGTTAGAGGGTATGTTGGTAAGGACTCATCAGTAGTAACCAAACATCAGAGGTAGAAGGATTAGTCACAACTTCTCATAGGACGTCATAACAGTGCTATAGCCCAGAGGCCATTCACAGTCTAAATTCTGGTACCCACTTTGGACTGGTGTACTCATTTCAATACCTTGGTTTCCTATAGGAGGAAGACACTCCATTTCCTGTTCCTATTTACAGTAGATCATACCATGCATGTATTTTTGCCACCTGAGTCAGAAGGTAGAAGCTTTAAGGCTCTCCTCACATTGATCAGTACGGGACTGCATGAAGCTTTCATAGATGTCAGCCATAAAAATGGCACCTATTAGCCAATTATGCTAGGCTCATAGAAATTAGTTCATTTCTACTAATTGTGTTAAATTTATGAATTGGAGATACAGAGGGAACTGCCACTGTAACTGCAGTTAAGTAATTGACTTGCCTCCATGAATTATGCTTGCATATCTGCATACAATTTGTACCTGCGTGTGAAACAGGAAACCCATTATCTCCTTTTAGTCATAACAATATTACTTCACAATATACTCAAATAATGTTTTATTCTATTTCTTGGCTATTTTAACAAATGCATTTTCAAAAGGTTCTTTTATTATCTGGTGATCCAAAGTAAAGAAAATCTAGTAAATGCTTAACTGTATAGTTTGTGGAAGATATTCCTATATTTACTCCAACCATATTACAGAGCGTTCTGTCCACTTAAATGTGTGGGTGTTTAGGAGCCAGCTCCAATTAAAAAGCATAATTTTGGAAGTATGTATTTTCCATGATAAAACGGTATGGCAATCATACTAAAGATGGATTAAGTTCCCATTAATGGAGGAATCATATAAGACACACACGTTGCAAGTATGCCAGTATTCAAACAAAAAAGAAAACGTGCACTATTTGTTTTCCAACGAAATATTCTAGCGAGTAATAGTTCAGTTTTTTATTCAAAGTCAGGGTGCAAGACTTCCTAGAGATTAAGTCCCTCTAAACACTCTTTGGCTCATGCTTATCCTGCCTACTTGTATTAAGTTGTATGTTTAGGAGCAATTCGGCATAAAGCGATCAAGAAAACAATAAGCAAATACGTATTGCAAAGGATCTATGGTGTCTGCTCTTTGAAAAATCTGTATCGTGACTTTTTGTCAAGATCAAACATTGTCAGTCTTTAGGGCAAATTTGTATTTGAAATGAAACAAGTTTTTTAACTCTCTTCCCCACTGTTTGGATTGTGGCTCTGCATGCAGGTCATTCTTACCATGCTTAGAGCTCTGAAGTTTATAAAATCTATCTTGTGGTGCTATGTGTGGAAAGCATATAATGGTAAGGTTAGTTTAAAACAGTGGTCCCCAATCTTCCCAACTGCGGACTAGTTCGGGGGGGTGCGCCTGCAGGGGGGTGAAGCTCGCTCATGCACACCTTGCATTCGCAGGGGGTGCTCACATGCACTGCACGCTTGCAGGGGCAGAGCATGCTTGCACATGCACATGGCACACTCGCGTGCATGTGCACGACAGCTCTCGCAGAGGGGGTAGGAGATGTGTATCCGCGGCCCAATCCTGGATGATCCGCAGACTGGGGGTTGAGGACCTCTGGTTTAAAACACACAGATGTACCTGTGTGACCTCTCTGATCTGTGAATGGCAGAGTAAATGGAAGATTCAAGCAATCTCCAAAATGTGCAAAATAAATTATAATTGAATTGTGATGCTAGGATCCCCAGGCACCTATGAGATTAAAACATTAACACAATCTAGCATAATTTTTTCTTTTCAGTACACTATTGGAAATAGTGTTTGAGCCATTATTCCTTTCACTAACTAAATGCCTTCCAACTATATATTTTTGCCTTTACAATCAGTTGTCAATAGCCAAAAAAGTCTGAACAATAAACCTATAAGTGTACATAAGCAAAGCTACTTTCTAGGCCTTAGATTGATCTTATGTTTATTAAACATAATGTGAAACATAATTTTGATATCAAGGGACTGCTTCACTCATAGAAAGAGAATGCTAACACAGCTAGATCTTAGAAGCAATACATTGCTAGCAGTTAATTCTGCTGAGTCGTTTTCTTAATTACTACAAGTCAGTCACAAGAGTCTTCCCAAACACCCACTCAAACAAGTGGAGTAACACTTTGCCCACAGCAAATATGTCTTTAACAGATTTGCAGTTTAGAAAAATTGGAATACTGAATACTTATCTTCAGCTCGTAACTTTATGAGCCAAAGTGGGGTTTGGTGTTTGGTTTTTGTTTGTTTGCTTTTAAAATATCTTACTTTTTAGGCTGGCAGTAGTTAAGACAGTGTGTATGTATATTTGTGTGTGTGTTGCACATACACAAATATGGCAAATATTAAAAATCTGAACTTGCTCCTGTATTTTGTGCAAAGTAGATGGTCACAAAAATTCAGACAGGTTATGTATAGAGTCTAAAAACTGGCTGAAAATTCTTGGAGCAAAGAAAGGCACTTTGCTCACATTTAAAAGTCATTTGAATATTAATTATTGTCCATCCAAAACAACTGTGGAAACATCACCCCCTCTTCTTCCATAGTAGTATATTGCATTTCCCCCAGTTTCTTGCTTTTATGACACTGTGGTGCTAAGTTCTAATTTTCCTTTTATCTTCAAAAAGACTCTTCAGCATGTAGACCTGAACAGCTGACACTATAACCATTACTACCAAGTTGACCATGGACCAGAAGTTTACCCTGTCAAAGTTGCTTTCTTGTATATTTCTATCACGAGCCTCAAACGCTCTGAGCAACGTCATTATATGAATGCTTTTGCTTAGTCTGGCCTTCACACCATTGACAGATTCCTAGTAAAGAAGAAAGTGCTAGATTTAGAACAGTATACTGTTGAACAGAGGAAACACTGATCTATTAAATATTAAAGTGTTCCGCCATGTGGCCTTGATCCAACCCTCCTTCCCCAGCTGCTGTCTAATGCCAAAGCCTCTGAATAAGAAAAGACAAATTAAGCTGCTTTATACAAACCCAGCATTATTTCTTTGGACTGGCAACAGGTCTTCAGGGTCTGAGGCAGAATTCTTCCCTAGCCCTACTGGGGCTGGGGATTGAACCTGAAATTCATGTGCTCTACCACCAAGTCATAACCCCTTCCCCAATTCAGTATCTGCCGTTTCCTAGTGGTCTTTCATCCAGGCTCTAGCCAATTCAGTTCCACCTTAGATTACAAAATCAAACAAAATCTGATTTATTCAGGATGGACTGGTGGTCCTCAATTGTATATCCAAAGCTTAAATTCTTCCTCTTCCCTTGTCTTTCCTATGTTTCAAATCGTGTTCTTTAAGAAATGTAAACAAGCTTGCACTTTGTGTAATTCTGGGAAACCACCTCTTTCAACATATCTTGGTCAGCCACATTTCACAGAAAGCTTTCTTCAGAGCAGTGATTTATCTAACCATTATCCATTATCAAAAGTAAAGGGTCAGCATTCAATTGCCTACTTTCTATTTACTCAGTTTAAGTCCTTCATATAATCAGGGTGGTTGAAGTCTAGCCTGTGGACTGTCTGGACCCTCCATGACATTCTGACATCCCATAGAGGCCACATAGATGCCCTCCCTGGGTAGAAAGTTTCTTCAGAAAAGGTGTTTTTCTAGAGGAGGTTCACAGGCTCCACATCCCAGAAATCAAATCAGAAGTGCTTCTCCAGGGTATTGGGGGCAAAAAATTGGCCCTTAATTTCACCAGTGTTGCTCACCCCAATATAATTTTGATTCTGCTGGCTACCTTGGACGTAGTTATACAAAGGCAGTATACAATTAAATCATAATATACCCACTATCATGCAGCTCCTTAAATATTGCCTTGCTTATAGTGTTATCTGACACACTGGCAGAGAAGACCAAATACACTCCATGTATAGACAGCCAAACACTCCACAATAATTATAAAAGCTGACTATACAATAATAATGTGCTGTCAAATCATGGGTTTCTCAGGTAGAGAATACTCAGAGGTGGTTCACCATTCTCTTCTTAGGGGCGCCCTGAGACTATGCAGCTTGCCAAAGGCCACACAGGTTGGCTGTTCTGGGAGGCACCATGGGGAATCAAACTCCCAACCTCTGGCTCCACAGCCAGATACCTAAACCACTGATTATCCAGCTGACTATATACATACCAGAATATCTTCTAACTTCATGTCTAATAGATCTGTGCCAGTGATATACTTTTTCCAGTCTTCTTGCTCTTCATCTCCCATGTTATCTAAGATCAGTTCAAAAAAAATCACCTTCTCCGACAGGGTGCTAAATGTGTTGTCAAAGCAGAACATGTAATCACCATCCTCTGTTTCCACCCTGTATGAAAACATATTGTGTTTTAACATGCAAGCTGAAAATTGTTTTCCATTCTTTTAATCTGATTTAAGGTTTGCAGCTATCTGCTTAAAATACATTTCAAAGAAAAGGATGGACTTTGGTGAACCCTTCCTTCTCACTGCAGCTTCTCTGAACTTCACTTCATGTCTTTCAGGAGGGTTCCCCAACCATCTGAAGACTCTCACGTGTGTGATGGCAGGTGAGCATTAGACAGGCCCTTTCTCAGAATCACTTTTTTTAAAAACCTGCTTGTTTAAAAATGTCACCTTAGAAATTATTTATTAAAGTCTAAATTAGCATTTTTAAACTTACGTGTGAACACCATCAGATTTTCTCTGTTCAGAAACTAGGATTTCATGTTTTGGTGATATTAGGAGAAAATCCACATCTAAGCCTGCTCCATCTAGAACCTAGGAAGACAATAAACAGCATTACATATTTGCTCGTGTTGTATTATTATATATCCAGCAGTGATTTTTTTTCTTACTATTAAAGGCTCCCCCTGCCCTCATCCTGAGTCTCCCAAAGGCTTCCCTAGAGCAAAAGGAAGCTCTAGTGATTGTCACAGCCTAAAAGGACGGGGACAGGAAGCTTTCAATTATGTTATATTAAATGCTTCTGATGCCCAATCCAAATTACATGGCACAGTTATATGAACAGGATTTTGTCCTATGAGTGATACCTCCTGATTTTTTTTAAACTTCCACACAGACAGAACGTTGAAGTTATCTGAGGTTTTTATTTTAATTTTTTTTAGAACTGCAGATGCAGTTGGCAACAGTAATTCAAGAAACTGAAATAATGTCATTCAATTATACTTAGCAGAAATTATAGAAACAGCAACAGCTGGTACTCCTGCACTCATCATGGTTCATATTACTGAATAACACTGGCTGCATTCATTAGTAAAATGTTATGAAAGCTTCTGTATCGAAGTTCTTATTTCTGAGATTACTAACTGTATCCCCCCCATGGCATTTAGTAGTCCATAGTTTCCATTTTTAACAATGTAACACAAGTACACACAGAGACACAGACACATACATGAAGCAGAACATATTTAATTCATGTATTGTTTATATGCAAAATAGTAACAAAGGCCAGTATCCTACTCTTAGTCCCAACCAGAGTAGTCCCATTGAATCAAATACAGAATGGTAAATCAGCAATTGTGTAAATCCTGAGTCAATGGGAACACTCTGGATGGGACAAGGTTTTGGCCAAGATAACAGGGAAGACTGCAATTTATTCCATATGATCCAAGCCAACAAAGAGGTTTGCATTCCTCATCCAAGACAATGGGAAGATCCAAAGAGAGTCCAAGCAACCAGTAAAAGGACTGTAAAGGATTCATTAAGACACACTGAAACTGCAACCACCTTGTTGCCTTGCCAACTGTCTGCATTCAGGAAGAATGTGCATAACATTCAAAAATTTTCATAACAATTTTAGAAGTAATTACTCCCTCCCTTACATTCACGTTTTAGTTATATTTGCCTAATGAAGCGTATCCACTCCATGAATTGCTGCCTTGTCGTGGCAAAGGGGCTTGAGTAACTCAGAGAAGCAATGGGCTATGCTGTGCAGGGACACCCAAGACGGACAGGTCATAGTGGATAGTTCTGACTAAAGGCAATCCACCTGGAGCAGGCAGTGCCAAGTCACTCCAGTATCTTTGCCAAGAAAACTCCATGAACAGAAACAAAAAGCTAAAAGATATAACGCTGGAAGATGAGCCCCTTAGGTCGGAAGGATAAGTACAAGTAGCTCCAGAGCTAATGAAGTGGTTGGGCCAAAGCTGAAAGGACGCTCAGCTGTGGACGTGCCTGGAAGTGAAAGGAAAGTCCGATGCTGCAAAGAAAAATACTGCATAGGAACCTGGAATGTAAGATCTATGAACCTTGGGAAGCTGGATGTGGTCAAACAGGAGATGACGAGAATAAACATTGACATCCTGGGCATCAGTGAACTAAAATGGACAGGAATGGGCAGATTCAATTCAGATGATTATCATATCTACTATTGTGGGCAAGAATCCCGTAGAAGAAATGGAGTAGCCCTCATAGTCAACAAAAGAGTGGGAAAAGCTGTAATGGGATATAATCTGAAAAATGATAGAATGATTTCAATACGAATCCAAGGCACACCTTTCAAAATCACAGTAATCCAAGGTTATGCACCAACCGCCAATGCCGAGGAGACTGAAATTAACCAATTTTATGAAGACTTACAACACCTTCTAGAACTGACACCAAAGAAAGTTGTTCTTCTCATTCTAGGGGATTGGAATGCTAAAGTAGGGAGTCAAGAGATAAAAGGAACAACAGGTAAGTTTGGTCTTGGAGTTCAAAACGAAGCAGGGCAAAGGCTAATAGAGTTTTGTCAAGAGAACAAGCTGGTCATCAAAAACACTCTTTTCCAACAACACAAGAGGCAACTCTTGATGGACATGATAAAGGACAAAAATGGGAGGGCCCAAAATAAGCAGAAGACATCAAGAAAAAGTGGCAAGAATACACAGAGGAATTATACCAGAAAGATTTGGATATCCCGGACAACCCAGATAGTGTGGTTGCTGACCTTGAGCCAAACATCCTGGAGAGTGAAGTCAAGTGGGCCTTAGCTTGGCTAACAACAAGATCAGTGGAGGTGATGGCATTCCAGTTGAACTATTTAAAATCTTAAAAGATGATTCTTTTAAGCTGCTACATTCAATATGCCAGCAAGTTTGGAAAACCCAACAGTGGTTAGAGGACTGGAAAAGATCAGTCTACATCCCAATCCCAAAGAAGGGCAGTGCCAAAGGATGCTCCAACTACCATACAATTGCACTCATTTCCCATGCTAGCAAGATTATGCTCAAAATCCTCCAAGGTAGGCTTCTGCAGTATATGGAACAAGAACTCCCAGAAATACAAGCTGGATTTTGAAGGGGCAGAGGAACTAGAGACCAAATTGCTAACATGTGCTGGATTATGGAGAAAGCCAGAGAGTTCCAGAAAAACATCTACTTCTACTTCACTGACTATGCAAATGCCTTTGACCATGTGGACCACAGCAAACGATGGCAAGTTCTTAAAGAAATGGGAGTGCCTGGCCACCTTATCCATCTCCTGAGAAACCTATACGTGGGACAGAAAGCAACAGTTAGAACTGGATATGGAACAAGTGATTGATTCAAAATTGGGAAAGGAGTACGACAAGGCTGTATATTGTCCCCTGGCTTATTTAACCTATACGCAGAATACATCATGCAAAAGGCCGGACTGGAGGAATACCAAGACGGAATTCAGATTTAATTAAGATAATTAAAAGAAGCCCACTTCTTGCGAGGAAAGCAATGACAAACCTCGACAGCATCTTTAAAAGGAGAGACATCACCTTGGCAACAAAACTACGCATAGTCAAAGCTATAGTTTTTCCATTAGTGATGTATGGTAAAGCTGGACCATAAAGAAAGCTGACCACCGAAGAATTGATCCTTTTGAATTGTGGTGCTGGAGGAGACTCTTGAGAGTCCCCTGGACTGCAAAGAAAATAAACATCCATTCTAAAGGAAATCAACCCTGAGTGCTCCCTGGAAGGACAGATCCTGAAGCTGAGGCTCCAATACTTTGGCCATCTCATGAGAAGAGAAGCCTCCCTGGAAAAGACCATTATGTTAGGAAAGGGTGAAGGAAAGAGGCGAAGGGGACGACAGAGGACGAGATATTTGGACAATGTCACCGAAGCTACCAATATGAATTTGACCCAACTCTGGGAGGCAGTGGAAGATAGGAGGGCCTGGCGTGCTCTGGTCCATGGGGTCACGAAGAGTCGGACACGACTAAACGACTAAACAACAACAACAACAATGGAGTGTATGGCTAGAACTCAAAGCTGCCTTTAAAACTTTTTAGTGAGCCAATAGACACAATTTCAGATCAAAACTATGACTTTTTGGTCAAAGAAACAGAAACATATTCAAGAATTTTATTTCAGCCAGTCAGTTTGATTCAACTGGAACAAAAACAACGTGCAGTTCTCAGTTCTTATTCTCATGCAGACATTTTACTCATCAGTTTCAAAACCCTTGGCTTACGTGGCTTTATCTAATGCAAATAAACTGTAGAACGTATCTGTGTCAGATCCATCACATGAAGCTCCCCAAACCAGTCTGACCCAGTCTTGCAGTGACATCTGGCTAGGTTGTTTGTTTCATAAACCAAAGAGGAACTATCACTACTATTCTTCAAGCCAGAGAGGTTTATGTCTATAAAGTTACAATGAATCCAAATTCTTTTCCTGAATATACAAGATGATGTTTTCATGCTAAATCCAAAGTCTTACATGCTAAACCTGTAAAAAAGGCAAAATATATCTGTACCAATTATACTTTACTTTGCCCTATTGTGAATCTTAGGTGCCTGTCATTTGCTTTAGACTGGTTTCAGACTCACTGCCTGAACACAGGTTTGGGATAAAGTAATTATCACACCCCTTTTTTAAAAGTTATCATTGTAACATCTTTACAATGGTAAAAACATTAAGGTTGTTACTTCACAGCGATACAAAGTGACACATATGGCTATTTTTAACTTGCCTCGGCAGTTACTCTAATTGAAAAATAACTGCATAGGCTGCAATCCAACACACATGTACTTGTTTTTTATTATTCTATATCCAGCAACAATTTTTTTTACTATAAAAGGCTCCCACCCCACCCCTGTCCCGAAGATTGTGGGTTTTGTTTCTACATAAACCATAACAAAACTGCACTCTTAAAAATCCAAATATGGGTTTGCCCTTAGTGAAGTAATTCAGGAAAACCACAAACTAGAAGGGACTTTAAACTCGCAGGCTTCACAAGGAAAGCCAGACACAAATGAGACACTCGGAATTAGATCTGAGCCTCCGAGTTTCTGAGCACTAAAATGACTCCAGTCTTTCCACACCAAAGATTTACTTCTGTTCACCTCATACCAACTTTCTTCATGTCAGTCGTTATTAAGCAGAGTAGCCGGAAGTTACTTTTGTTACTGCAGAACAAATTGGAGGCAGGCGGGCGGGGTGGGGGGAGGTGTCCCAGAAATTCTTGCCAAAGTGCTTGAAAGACAGCCAGACATCTCTACCTGTTGTACCCATGCCTGAGTTAGAATTTCCTTCCCCCTGACATATATACAGTAGTGGGATCTGCTTAGTCGCTCCCTGTACGAGAAGATCCTCAGGGAACTGAATACACCCCGGGGGAAAAGTTTTACCATCTTACTCCACGGAATGTGCAAAACGGGCTCTTCGATCTTCGGCATTAAGCAGCCCGCTCGTAGACACGTCAGCTGAAGCCCTCAGACGGACCGTGGCTGCCAGCTTTCACACGGGGCCGAGGAAGCCCGGCTTCTTCCTCCTCCTCCTCCTCCTCACCTGATACTCGATCTCCAGCGTGGCCTCCTTCTGCATGGGCTGGAAGAAGCACTCTTTCTGGCCGGCAGGCACCGTGAAGGTAAAGTCGCTATCTAGGGAGGCAGTGAAGCTGGAGGTCCCAGGCGGCAGCCCCAGCAGAAGCAGCAGGGTTAGCGGGGACAGAGGAGCCAGCAGGCGCCGCCCGAGCTCCGTCCCCATCCCTGGCCGCGTCTTCGATGCCCAGAAGCGGGAAATTCCAGACGAGGCGAGCGTCACGCGTGTCCGCCTCAGGCAGGCAAGCAGGCAAACCGGGCGGGCGGAGAGCAGCAACTGGGCGCCCACAATGCACCGCGCCTGGAGGCGGGCTGCCGCTTTGGCGACGGGTAGAGAGCGGGAGGGGGAAAGCCAGGTTCTCCTCGGCGGTTGCTCTTTCTCTCTTTTATTTTAATGTTAAAGTAAAAGAATAAAAACTAATAAAAATTAACGAGCAAATAAAACTATTAAGTTTTAACGGGAGCTTTGGTGGGCAAGTCCACTTCCTCAGACATAATGAGAGAACATAGCAAATATTCATACATGGCATCAAAACACAGATATTGTGGTTGGCTGGTTAGTAAGAAAGACAACGGGTATTTAGCCGTGGGGTGGTAGCCTCTTTGAGATACTGTACATTGAAGCGTGTGCTGAAAGGATATAAAAACCTCTGCAGTACTATGAATAAAAATGATAGAATAATATGAATGCGAATTGTACTGAGGAGACTAGCCCTTTTGCTCTTGACCTTTTCTTGATAGTAGGTTGTCTGGGACAATACACGCATCACAACATGTGGGTTTTTTAATGTGGCTTTCTAAGGCGATAGGACGTGTCTCCAGCCTGTTGATTTGCAAGGCATTGTGGGCAATGTGGTTTCGCCGCTCGTCAAAAAAAAAAAAAGAAAAGAAAATTAGAGCGGGAAACAGAAAGGTTGGGCGGGCAAAACTACGCTTCCCAGATGCTTAACGAGGAGGCGGGGCGAGTGGCCCCTTCGGCCGAGAGAACGTTTCCCTTTAACCGTCTCCCTTCCTCAGCCACTCCTGGGCGCCCCTTCCCGAAGGCCCGCGCAGTTCGAACAGGCGGAAGGACGGGTCGCCGCTGAGGCCAAGAGGCCTGGAAGAGAAGATTCGCCTGAGGCAGGGTAAGGCCCTGCCCCGTGTAGGGGGAAAAAAGGATTTTATTTAGAATGGAGTCGTGCACCCAGAGTGTTAATTTCCCCCCACCAACAGAAATTGGTTTTGTAAATAGCAGGGAGACGAACATTTCGGGAATATAGAATGGCCAGCTGTTGTGCAAGGCGAGGGGTGTGTAGCGGGGAGGAAGGTAGCGTTGCTTAGCAACGGGAAACCCTTCTGCTCTGGAACCCTCGACCTCCCTTATCGGGGCAGTTGCGGGAGAGGAGGAAGAAGGGGATGGCCTTCGAGGGGAACGGTTCGCTTTGCCCGGACGGGGGTGACCGTCACGGGAACAGCAAAGGGACTTATTGTGTCCTTTGTATTTAATTTACAGTACATATGCATTTATAGTGTCTTCAATATTAACTAGTTCGGTTTGCATCGGTTGAAGGGGGCTGGATCTGCACGCCATCTCATACTGTGGCCAGCCTTAAGAAGGGAACGACTCGAACCGGTTAGCCTCCAAGGGGCCAGAAGACTTGTGTGGGCTTTGCTGCAACCCACGAATAGGGGCTGCCCTTCCCCACTGGAAAAAGCAACAGGAATTGAATACATGACCCTCACCTCTGTGTAATGAATACAAACAACAGGCTGGTGGAGAGTTTAGCTGCCGAAATAAATGGGAAAGGGACGGGGAAAGAACTGTTTTTCTGTTTGTTAAATCACACTGAGACTGGCTTAGATCATGGTCATGTACCTCTTAGAAACCTTAGTAATTTATCTGAAGAGAGGTTCCGGGTACTAATTATTTGTGAGAAAGCCTGTGTTTCTCTTGCCCTTAGTCCTAGGGTAATAAGCCTGAATTCCCTTTACAGTATTTTCTGGTTTGTGTAGAAATTAATTCTCAGTGTAACTGTCAGAAGAAACAGAGGAGGATGCCTTGTCCTGGCCCTGCCAACCAGTGCCTTTTTGGATTTCAGACATGAAAACTGTGTGAAAATGTCAGCCACTGAACCTGGGGACCTCTACAAAGCAGTGCCTTGCCACTGAGTTATGGGCTCTTTCCTCTTTGCATTACCTAAGCAATAATAAAATTCATTTGACACAAAATATCCATCTTACAAAGGGGCCTGTCTTGCTGTAGAACTGCTTAATTCACTGCTTTGCGACCATTCTGTTGCATAAATGCTTGGTCACATTGGGTAAGGCTGCACCTGAAGTATTGAGTACAGTTCTGGTCACCGTACCTCAAAAAAGACATAATGGAACTGGACAAGATGCAGAAGAGAGTGACTAAAATGATGACTGGGCTGGGGTACCTCCCTTATGAGGAAAGGCTACAGTGTTTGGGGCTCTTTATTCTAAAGGAAAGGCACCTGAGGGGGGACATGACTGACATGTATAAAATTATACAGAGTATGGATAGAAGGAAGCTCTTTTCCTCTTACGCAATACTAAAATCAGGTGACTTCCACTCAAATTGAGTGTTGGGAGAGTGAGAACAGACAAAAGAAAGTATTTCTTTACCCAGTGTGTTGTTAGTCTGTGGAACACCTTGCCACAGGATGTGGTGATGGCATCTGGCCTAGATCCCTTTAAAAGTGGATTGGACAGATTCCTGGAGGAACAGTCAATCGCAGGTTATAAGCCATGATTGGGATTAATAATAATAATAATAATAATAATAATAACAACAACAACAACAACATGTGCTCTATCCAATAGTCAAATACAGTTAAAATACAACAATAACATAATTACAATGATAAAAACATACAGTAATTAGTTATCATTCAATAAAGCAATAAACAATCCAAATAGCTATAATAATTAATTAATTAATTAATTAATTAAACTACAGTAATTCTATCCCAATAATTGCCTATTCCCATGGTCAGCCCCTATGGTTCCAGGTTGAACAAGTAGGTTTTTAAGTCTCATTTCAATTTGTCCAACTCTGGTTCCACGTGAAGGTATTGCAGAAGGGAATTTCATAATTTGGGGGCCAGATGAGAAAATGTTCTAAGTCTGAAGTTAGCCACCTTGATCCAAGGGACTAGTAAGAGACCAAAATCCACAGATTGAGTCCTCCTACGAGGAATATGCCACCCCACAAGTTCCGCTAAATAGCTAGGGCAAGAGAAATGTAATGCTTTAAATGTCAGAACAAGAACCTTATAATATGTTCTTGATCTGATGGGTAATCAGTGCAATGCCCTGTGGTGCTGGGAAATGTGAGAGTAGCGCGGCAGGTTTAAAACTACTCGTACCACACTATTCTGCACCAAGGTGAGAGGATGAAGTGCAGAAGAAGAAAGACCAGCTAACAAGCTATTACTATAATGCAGATGTGAAACCTCCAGGGTATGAACAAGAAGTTTTGTAGTCTCCAGGGTTAAAAGGAAGGTACCTCAAAATGCCAGATGCAGCAGAGTGGAATCAGGAGACAGGTATCTAGTTGCGTCGTATGCTCCCCAAGGCATCTGGTGGGGCCACTGTGAGATACAGGAGTGCAGGAAGCTGCACTAGAGGGGCCCTTTGCCTGTTCCAGCAGGGCTCTTATCTTCTTATTGTCTTATATGTGTTCTCTGAAACACAGAACAAGGTCCTCAAGGTGTTGACTGTAACTTCCATCAATTCTGGATAGGTAGCCACAGGTGATGCATAATGGGGAGTGCAGTCAATTAACCTCTGAATACTAGATGTGTTTCATTTCTTCTCTAAAGAACAATAGGGCAAACTGGCTTGGGAACAAAGTAAATGAGGGAATATAATCTAGACTGCATGTTTATATTCTGGGTCCCTCAATATATGCAAGAAGGTACATATATATTTGTATGCATACTATAGCACATTGTACATTATCAGCAATTTTATACTGAAAAAGCTTTTCTAGCTTAAAATTGACTAAACAGGCTAAGGGAAGTGTTGAAATTGGCCAGGTCTGACAAAGGTACAGTACAATGACATTTCAACCAAACTAAATCTGTTTCAAGTGTCTTGTGCTGGCTTCCTGGACATGATGGCTGGCAAATTAGGCAAAGGAATGTGTATTCATTCCCTTTCTCATTATTCCCCACCGGTTCTCTTTTTAATGTTTGTCTTGGTTTCATATTTCAGATGCACTAGCCCAAGGTGTAGTTTATAAACTAAAGGCTGTAACCACCACATTAATTTAGTTTGAAAATAGCAGTTATTATGGAACAAAGTTTGCATTAACAGTTCTTAAATCTAGGAAAAATAGTGAAGAAATGAGTGTAAGTATTTATGAGCCCAGTATTGCATCTGACTTCCTGGAAAAGACCCTGAAGCTGGGAAAGTGTGAAGGCAAGAGGAGAAGGGGACGACAGAGGATGAAATGGTTGGGCAGTGTCACCAAAGCTACCAACATGAATTTGACGAAACTCTGGGAGGCAGTGGAAGATAGGAGGGCCTGGCATGCTCTGGTCCATGGGGTCACGAAGAGTCGGACACGACTTAACGACTAAACAACAAAAACATTACATTTAGATTGGGTCATAATGGAAAACAAAAGTTTATATGTTATTTTTGTGTATTCATAAAGAATCATTTTCTTCAAATAATCGAAGTTATATTATTTTCTTAGTTCTAGTTTACATAAGACAAATGTATATTTTCAATGGAACCTGACACAAGGGCCTCTGAGGATTATGAGAATGAGCACTTGCTTTCAGAAGTTGTTTCATTAAGGACTCAGCTGCAGGAAACAGAAAGGCATTTAAAAAATTTGGGAGAAGAACTTCACAGGTACTGTGTGTGTATATATGTATAAATATATTTACCCAAAAGTAGTACTGTATTTATGTGTACTTGCTATACATTTCTTTGAACTATATTCTTTATATCCTAATTTTGATACAGCCTGTAACAATTGTTGCAAAATCAATGAGAAATGTTCATATTTGTTTTTCTTTTGTTTTGTTCTAGTACAAATGGACACAGTAAGTCAGATCTCAGCATTGATGATGGTGAGCTTGGGGTTTTAACAATGGAAGACCTGATTGATCCTAGTGAATTACATAATTCTTCAGCTCATAGTGCCATAAACAGAATGTCTTGGTGTGACGGAGATTCTCCAAGGAAACTCCAGAAGAAAGTAATTATTTAGGAGTTAGTGAACATTAATCCATTTTCTTTTGCCATAATATTTCATTTGAACATTTTCTTGCAAGTTTTTAAATTATATACTGTCAAGCTAGAATCACAGTGACCCTATAGACCAGTGATGGCGAACCTATGGCATGCGTGCCACAGCCTTCTCTGTGGGCACACAAGCCATAAGTCACCAGATAGCTACCCCTAGTAGCCGAACCTGAGGAGGCAGCTTGCAGCTGCAGTGCTAGGGCTCCGACAGGCAGCAGACCAGGATCTGGAGCAGCTGGCACTGGCGGCAGCAGGCCGGCCATGTTCCTATCGGCTGAACTATAGACGGTGGTGTGGTTGGGCTCAATTGGAGGCAGATCCGGAGCGGGGTCTGGAGGCACCTCCGTGCCCAGGATTCTCCCTTTGGCTTTGACTTCCACGGCCACCCACTGGGTTGGGTTTTTTTGTTTTTGGCAATTTGGGCACTCGGGCTCAAAAAGGTTTGCCATCACTGCTATAGACTCTCAATGTAAGTGAGATATTTGAAGAGTGATTTTGCCAGTTCCACACACACAGACCAGTAAATTTCAGTGACCAAACAAGGATTTGAACCCAGGTCTACTGAATCCTAGTCTGTCACTCTATCCACTATACTACACTGGATATCTTTTTTATATAATACTCATGGAATTAGAGCTGGTAACGCTGTTGACTGTTAAAGAGCAATGATATGAGCAGCTTAGTTTGGTTGACACTTGTTAAAAATATTGTATTTTGCCTTCTAGTGTTACTCACTGTCCTTTGATAAAAGCATGGAAGAAGAAAATGAACTACTAAGAGAAAAACTGAATATACTCCGGGGGAGAAATGAATTATTGACTACCCAGAATCATGATCTGATGAATGAAATTGAAACTATCAACTTTGAACTAAAGCAGACAAAAGCACGAGTAAGTGTTTTAAGATGTATTTGTTTTAAGATGCACTGGTGATGATGTTGGGAATCATTAAAATCATCATATTAAAACATTTTAAGAAAAAAAGGCTGCATTGGCAGCAAACCTAGTTGTGTTACCTTTGGTGCCAATATAGCCTTTTAATGTGCTTTTAAATGTGTTTATAATTCTTAATTTGTTGTTATTTTAATGATTTCCTTTTAAATAATTTTAAAATTATTGTTTATCCATTGCTTTTAATTTTTTTTTCTTTTTAATGATTTGTGAGTCACCTTATGTCCCACTGCTGGGAAAAAGGCAGCCAGTACAATGAATGAATAAAATTCTATACGCTCAAGAATTCTTCTCATTTTTTTCTCATTATCTTTGACTGGAAGTATTTGTCCTATTTTTTTGATGGTTTATGCATTTGTTAGTAGTACTGTAACCATTATCAGTACTTACTGGCTTACTAAATTAAACAGCAAGTTCTTACTGTTTTACAATTTTGTTTTATGATAGGACATCTTCTTTGTCATATCTGCTGGTTCCTTGCAGGAAGTATTACCTGACCTCAGTTGAACACCCTAGCAGCACCATAATCATATGGGAATATATCTTGAACTTTCAGTTTTGAGTAAGAGATATACTAATGTCCGTGCCCTTTCATTATTACAAGTAGTAAGCTCAGTATATTGGATTGCATGTGTATCAAACTTCAGGTCTTAGGGAGCATGTGAGTAGTTTCTCCATTTTGGGGTATAGTTAGAAGCCTCTATTTGGAGACATGTTAAAAATAGCTAGAGAAATTAGCCTTTTGTCTTTAGAGGTTGTTCTGTGCAGAATTTCCACCGTGATGTCTTGCAGTCAGGTCCCTATATTCTTTTGTTTTGACTTGTGAAGGTGATCAAGGGAGGTAGGCCAATTAGGAATCTGCTTCAGCTAATATTTCTGTGAAAACTAGCATGAATTTGAGTTCTGGAAAGTTCCGGCCTTTACTGTTGGTTGTTGGGTTTCATCTGAGTTGTCAAGGGTTATGACTATAAAAGTAGGCTGTGTCCCTTCAAAACTTTATTCTCATTTTCTTCACATACGTGGGGATTCCACTCTGGTATGATTTATTCCTGTTCCATAGTTATTTGATTCAGTGAGACCTGTGGTAATGTAATTATTGTTTAGGAAAGATAATATTCTTCTTTTGACTTGTATATATTACTCAAAAGAACATGGCTCATTTAGTTGCACTATTTGGCTTTTCTCTCCTTTTTCTGTATTAATTTTTTTAAAATACTTCACCACAGGTTGTATGTGTACTGTATAAGTGTGGGAATCTCCTGGTATTAAATCCAGCATCTTCTGTTTGCCATTGGAATTTTACCTTTCCTGTGACTCTGAGGAAACAGGGAGTGCAGGCTTTGGGTCCTTATTTTCTTAGTGCCTCACAGGGATGTCCAGTAAACTTTGAGTAGTACCTGTCCTACAACAGAGGATACTAGTGATGGTGCCATTGTTAGCTCTGGGAAGTTCAGCTGCACCAATTGTCAGCATCCTGAGTTGGAGACACTGGGGCATCTTAACACTCAACCCACTTCTTGCTAATCAACATTTCTGGGCAATATTTGTAGCAGAGTTTGGCGCTCTAATTCATGGGGAAATAAAATCTTGGATGTGACTGATTATATATTAAGGTTGAACTGAATCTGTGGAATGAGAAGAAAGCATCAAATCTAAGTTCGTAAGTCAAGTCCATATATTCCTATGAGAGCAGTTCATAAGTCAAAACGTTCGTATGTCGAGCTGTTCATAAGTCGAGACCCCACTGTACCTGTCCTACAACAGAGGATACTAGTGATGGTGCCATTGTTAGCTCTGGGAAGTTTAGCCACACCGATGGTCAGCATCCTGGTTTGGAGACACTGGGGCATCTTAACACTCAACCCACTTCTTGCTAATCAACATTTCTGGGCAATATTTGTAGCAGAGTTTGGCGCTCTAATTCATGGGGAAATAAAATCTTGGATGTGACTGATTATATATTAAGGTTGAACTGAATCTGTGGAATGAGAAGAAAGCACAGGAAAGTATTTGATGTTTTGATGCATATACTTTTAATGACTCTTACATCTGAGGAAGTGGACTTGTCCAGAAAAGCTCAAAATATTGCAGTTAGTCTTTAAGGTGCCACAGCGTTTTTGTCTTTTTAATTTTGTTTTTGCCTGATAGTTTAATGATTGAACTTTGCGCTGATTCAAAAAATTAAATATTATTGCAAAGACAGCATGTGCGGAACTGTGTAAGTATAGGTCTGAAAAAATAAATGCATGATGAAATGATTGCCAGACATGTACACATACAATCTTGTTCAGAAGGCCGTTAAATTCAATCATATTTATTTTTCAGGTATCGCTCCTTGAATCTACTTTAGGAACCCATTCGGTCAGCATTCCAATGTTAGAAGAACAAATAGGAAGTTTGGAAGCAGAAGTACAAGCCCAAGATAGTTTTCTAAGGTAGAGACCTCTTTTGTTTTTATCCTTCTTTTTTTTAAAACTCACATTCATTTTCAAAGGAAAATTTCACATTAGTGTGAGTGTCAGGCAGACACAGACATCTTCCATGCACTGTGGAATATACAACACTTACTTGAATATAATGCCCAAATTATATCTGTGGAAAAGCTGGAAAAGCCTCATTCTGTCTTTATGCTTCATAGTGAGGTTGAGGTAGAAATTCTGAAACTTGTACGAATTGAGATTCTTCTAAGCATAGGAACAAGAAAACAGACCCATAGTGTTGACAGCATTGATTTTCAAATTCAGTAATTGTGGAAACTGGCTTGCGCTGAAATAGTTGTGACGCATAGTTTGGTCCCAAATCATTAGATATGGATTTTAATTGAATTTATTTCCAGCTCCGTGTCAACTGGATCATTGGCTAATATTTTGAATTAATAAGACCTAGTTTAGAAGCAACGCAAAGCTATGCTTTTGTGCTGTGCAAACAAATTGTGATGAACATGAGACTTACATTCTTCTGCTTTTCACCTCCAGTATGTGCCAGGGAAGAAGATCAGAATCATCTACTAATTTTAACCACAGTTCCCTGTAATATATAAAGTAGTGGGAGTGTGGTTTCTTTATTGCTTCAGACAAGCCACAATCTGAAATGAGTTGACATTTCTTTGCAAATGTATGAACTGGAAACCTGTGTTGTTAGATAGACTATGATTTGGTTTCTGTACCACATGGAGAATGCTCACACCATTTGGTGTTTTTAGTCATTTAGCTTACATGGAGAATGCTCACACCATTTGGCGTTTTTAGTCATTTATCTTTGTAGTTTAAAAACCAAATGTAATGCATTAAAATATTTTGTGATTTATTTTTAGAGACACAGAAGACAAATTAGAGCAAAGTCAGAAAATGGCAATGGAAAAAGAATATGCTTTGCAGAAGCTAAAAGAGGACTATAAAAAATTGAAACTTGATTTTATTGAACGTACCAAACTAGGAAAGAGGTGACAAATTACACAAGGGCTTGTTTTTTATTCTAAAAAATTGACATTGTCTCTTGTTACTTAATATTCCTTTTAAATGCATTGTATTGTGGTGTTGAACAAAACCCACCATGTGTCTTTAGAGATAACCCAGATTTATTTTATCAGAATTAAGAATATCTAGTAGTATTGATGATATACCTTACAGATGTGTACCTTTTCTGGTCATTAAATCAATTACCAGGTTACATTGCTTTTGAAACAGTTAAAAACTGATTTAGTTTGAGAGAAATTACAGCTGTCTTCTATCACTATGAATTCAAGTTAAAATTTAAGTAAAGTATGTAAGGCTTTGCTCTTGTCTATTAGTGCTTTGCTGAACACCTTAGGAATCCTGGAATTTGGCAACATAGTGCCTATGCATGGATACATGTTCAAATGTTTTTGTTCTTGAGGGAAGCTATAAGGAAGTTGTGGCAAATATAAGTGAATGCCTAAATTAAGAATTCCCTCATTATGTGGAATACTAGCTGATTTATATTTTAATGTTTTTTTCTTTTGTATCTATTAATGTCAAAGCTTTGTTTTAATATGTTACTAAGTACTTCATGTTGCGTTGTATATTGTTCAGTTTCCCCAAAATTTCCATTTTCTCCTGAAAAAAAGATAATGTTTTTTTCATATGACTTACATTTTTTTTGGAAGTTTATATATGTAGGCCCAACAGTGCTTTCACACTAGCCAAAATCTATTGTGCAACCAAATGGCACGCAGCTTGAGGTTGACCTGCAGTAGTTGCACAAGCATCAAGGTGGAAATGCTATACCTGAAATGTTTATTTATTTTATTTTATTTATTTTATTTATGTTTCCACTGGTGCCTTGCACAATTGCAGAGGGCGGTTTCTTGTGGCCAGGCACAATGCCCAACACATTTGCAGTGGTGTAATTTTACAGCAGAAGCACAATACTGGCCATAGTTTGTACTTTCTGAGCCATATGCATGGAAAGTGCATAGGAAAGACAGTTGTGTGGTGGCTTTTTTTATACTTATGGGAGCTGAACAGAATTTGGAGAATTCTTGGCTAGGAATGAAATTATATGTCTTTTTTGGAGACACGTATAGATGTACATCATCACTGGCACTGAAATTTGTGGTGGTTTTGAAGAATCACAAGTTTTCATGTTTCAGATTTGTGTGCATTTCAGCTTTAGTTGTAATAGCCAAATCACGAATTGATTTGAAAATTGAAGAACGAAGAAGCAAAATGCAGCATTCTGTTTACTGCATTGATCTCTCTCAGTGAATAGGCATATTTGTCTGTGATCTAGAATTCAACTATGCTGTTGTGCTTCAGACCTTTTTCAAACTGTACCCTTGCTGTGAACAAAAATGGCTAATTGTTAACCCTAATCACTTTATGAAGTAGCATCATATAATTTCAGATGATTTGATACACATTGTTAAGTAAGAACTTATGAATCTTTTTAAAATTACAGTATGTTTAAATAGAATGGAATGCTAAACATGTCTTCTATCTGTTAATTATTTGTTTCGATGTTTGGTTTCGTGAGAACAATTTTATGTGATTGATTTTCTTGATCAATTATAACTAAGTCATGTCTTTTATTTAAAGAACTGAACATCAAAGAGATGAAGCTCTGTATAATGCTGAAGAGCTGACAAGAACTTTTAAAAAATATAAAGAGAAGATAACTGCTAAGCTAGAAAAAGTAAGATTTGGCTTCATAAACTGATAGTAGAATGTTAAATTCTGGAATCTGTGAGGTCATGTGTTCTTGCTAAATCTGTCAGCATTCTAACTTGTTCTTATGCCTTTCACTAGAGCCTAACTGACTCAAGAAGTGCATAGACTGCTAATTTTAATTATTGGCGTTGTATTAAAGAAACTGTAGTAAGATCTGGACTGAGTTGCCAGGAAGCAGTGACACTGGCTTCAGTTACATTCAGTTGCATCAGAGTGCAAGAATGGCCCTATACCCACCTGCATGGGATTTGGCCCCATTGAGCTCAGTGACTAATCATGAATTGGATAATTTATATTATAGTTTTAGTTACTTTGGATTAAGTTTTTATTAATTTTTGTTGAAAGAAATAAACCTTAAAGAGCTTTGCATTGTTTAAGAGATTTTGTGGTTTTTTTTCTAAAAGTAAAACCCAAAAGTTAAAAGTATGTAACTCAAAACATTTTAGAGTAAGTAAACATTGGAGCCAAAAATACTTACGTCACTAAGAGCAATGAAAGACAGACCAAGTGCTTTGGAAGGATGGTTTTCATTCAGCCAAGCTGTTGGCCTCTTCATCTTTCCCAATAAAGGTAGTTATCAGCCTCTAATATTGAAGAACTTAGATTAGATTTAGATTAGGCATCCTTCAGTCTCGAGAGACTATGGTAACGTGCTCTGTATAGAGGACTTGGAACAGCATATAGTGTGGCTGAGAAGGCCAATTCAAGAGTGACAATCCCTTCCACACTGAAGACAAATACAATCTGTCCCCTGTCCAGCTCCCTGGTTTTGCTGGTTTCGGGACTGCCTCTTTGCCTCAGACTGCTGGACAAGTGTCTCTTCAAAATGAGAGAGGCCATGATGCACCTCCTGCCTCCAGGCTCAATACTCAGATCTCAAGGTTTCCCATCTGTTGAGGTCCGTTCCTAAGACCTTCAGATCCCACTTGCAGATATCCTTGTAACATAGCTGTGGTCTCCCTCTGGGGCGATTTCCCTATACTAATTCACCATACAGGAGATCTTTTGGAATCTGACCATCAGCCATTCTCACGACATGCCAAAGCCAACGCAGATGTCGCTGTTTTAGTAATGTATACATGCTAAAAATTCCAGCTCATTCTAGGACTACTCTATTTGGAACTTTGTCCTGCCAGGTGATACCAAAAATGTGTTGGCGACAACACATATGGAACGTGTTCAGCTTCCTCTCTTGCCATGCAAAAAGGGTCCAGGATTCACTGCAGTACACTTTTCTTTGATCACGGGCTTTGCTGATGTCAATACGTGGTCTGCCTTGAACTTTGTCCTGCCAGGTGATACCAAAAATGTGTTGGCGACAACACATATGGAACGTGTTCAGCTTCCTCTCTTGCCATGCAAAAAGGGTCCAGGATTCACTGCAGTACACTTTTCTTTGATCACGGGCTTTGCTGATGTCAATACGTGGTCTGCCTTCTTTTTTTGTGTAATACAATCTCTTTGTTCACAATTTTACTCTACTACACACCAGGGAGTGATCAGTTTTGCAATCAGCACTCTGGTAACTATGTGTGATCGTAATACTAGGAAGGCTAGAATGTCTAGTGAGGATGAAATAGAACTGATACCAATGCTTCGATCTTGAATGTCTCCAGGAAACTCTGTGTTGACGCTTCGTATTAAAGAAGGAGTTGCTGACACAGAGACGATAATAACAGCAAAACCCCAGCAAGCATTGGCCATTTTCATTCATCTTCACAATGCCAAAACAGCCTAGACAAGTGGGCCAAGAATTGTGATCAGCACCAACTCTAGCGTTAATGAGAATGAACAGTGGCTCTCTCTCAGGTTTTTTTTTAAATAGTACCTGCCAGATTGTCATAGAATTTGTCTTTGACTTCTGTTGTGGCTAACAGTGTTGGTACATAAGCACTTATGAGAGTGATCAGTCCTCCTGATGAGTGGAGCTGCAGAGACAGGATTCTTTCACTCCCCACAGTAGGTGGAACAATGGATCTCAGCAAAGTATTTCTGACCACAAAGCCAACACCATGTTCCTTGGTCTCATTCAGTGGTTTTCTCTGTCAGAAGAATGAGAAGTTTTTTTCTTTGACAGATCCCATGTCTGCCAATCTCGTCTCTTGCAGGGCAACAATGTCCATCTGCAGTCTACTCAGTTCCATGTCAATGACAGCTGTCTTGTGCACCATCGTCTATTTCTTACAGGTCCCCAGAAAAGCCAGGGGGTCATTGTCCGAACATTCCAGGTGCCCAACTTTAGGGGAGAAGTTTTCTTATGATTGTTGCATGGTGCAGGGTTATTGATTTGCTTGTCGGCTTTCACCCTAAACCCCATGCACCCCATGAGGTTAACAGTCCATGGCGAGGTAGCACCTTACTGCCCAGCTTAAGGCAATGACCTCTCCCACTCTCAGAAGTAGCCCCTGGCGTCATGCTCTATGCCAATCAAGCAAAGATTTATAACCGGTAACTGTTACTTCCCATGTTTTGATGCTGTATGCAAAGCTGGTATGTCTTCTCCAGAGCACGAAGCCTGGATAAAATAATATGGAGGATAGGCTGTTACCCAGGGAGCAAATCCCCCCTCTTCACGTTCCTGAAATAGTCCAATAAAAAGGCAAGAGCCAATGTAACTGGTTCCTCTTTTCCTGAAGAGGAGCTGAGGCAGGAAGTGAGCTGTGTTTCGGAGGACATTTTATTTGGTGAGGTATTTTCTTCTAGGCTGACCTTTTTTCTCCCTGACCGCATGGTCAGAGGGGGCGGGATTTTGGCTTTAAATGCATGCGAGCAGAAGCTCTAATTCTCTGATTCTATTTTTGACTCTAATCTGGTAAATAGGAAAGCCAAATAGCATTGCATACACCTGGGGTGCAGGAAAGCTTTAGGGGTAGGATCAGACTTCTTCTCTTTTTTAATTCACTGACCAGTCAGTCGAGATGGAGAGTGCAGGATCTGTTG